AGAGAAAGGGAGAGAGAGAGAGAGAAAGCGAGAGAGCAAGCTGCCAGGTCTAGGACCTGAACCATGGTCGGCCATGTGGGAATCCAGTGCCTTTAACCACCACACCACTTGCTCTTATTCGGGCTATCTCCAGCGCTCCTCGCTGCCTGAGGTCACTTCTGTCTAAAGCTCTCTCTTTGTTTCAGCTCTTCAATCTTTCAGAGAAAAGGCATGACCTGACCCGCCTAAACCCCAAGGTAGGAGGGAAACTGCCTGCCCAGCCGAACCACCCCACCTCAGAAGCCCCCAGATTTCTCGTTATTAATAGGAGCAATTGGAATCTACTTCAGCCTTAAGCATTTTTCCTCATGAAGTATTACTTGAGACCCAAAAAACGTGGTGCAGGAGGTAGCAGCCCACCGAAAGGGCAAAGAAAGTGCTGAGGCTGTCCTGGACAATAAGCAGGGCCCTACATTTGCCCCCAGCCCCTCCTCCGTGTCCCTTTTCCACCCTCACCCATCTCTCTGTGCTCAGACCTCAACTCACCTGCACCCCTGCCCTCCTCCAGGTCCAGGACTTTGGCTGGCCTGAGCTGCACGCTCCACCCTTGGACAAGCTGTGCTCTATCTGCAAAGCCATGGAGACTTGGCTCAGTGCTGACCCACAGCACGTGGTTGTCCTGTACTGCAAGGTGTGGTGGGGCCGTGGGTTCACCCGGCTGGAGTGCCCTCAGCCTGGGGCCCCAGCAGGCTCCATTCTTGTCTCTCTGTCTCTCAGGGAAACAAAGGCAAGCTTGGGGTCATCGTTTCTGCCTACATGCACTACAGCAAGATCTCCGCAGGGTGAGGTTTCCTGGTGCCGGAGTAGCCCCTTCCCAGAGGCCCTTCCTCCAGCGGGCCCTTTATGAACCCCTCTCCCCCGCAGCCCACCTGTTTGTTCAGAGAGCCCTCTCGGGTAAACTGGACAGCCCACAACCTTTTTATCACATCCTCACACAGTCCGCAGCGGATGATCTGCATTCGCTTCCTGGGGCTGCCACAGCTAGTACAACAAAGTGGGTGGCTTGTCCCATGGTTCCAAAGGCCAGATGTCCAAAAACCAAGGTGTTGGTGGGGCCTGGCTCGCTCTGAGGCTCTGGGTAGAACCCTTCCTTGTCTCTTTCTAGCTTCTGGTGGTGGCCGGCAGGCCTCGGTGTTCCACGCCTTACCGATGCACCACTCCAGTCTCTGCTCTGTCATCACACGGCGTTCTCTCTGTGTTCTGTCTCTGTCTCTTCTCTTCTTATAAGGGCACCACTCATATTGGATTAAGGGCTCACCCTACTCCAGTATGGTTTCGTCTTAACTAATTACGCCTGCAACGACCCCATTTCCAAATAAGGTCACATTCTGAGGTACATATATTTTGGGGGTGGGGGGACACAATTCAACCCATAGCACAGCCTTATTGCCCCATTTTACAGATAAGAAAACTAAAGTTCAGGGAACAATTGCCTCAGGCCCCACAACTAGTAAAGTGACTGGGTGTGGTGCTTCTAGTTCTCTTTACCACCACGCTGGGCTTCCTCTAGACTTGGGGGAATCTCAGCTCTCCTTCCCCTGGGGCTTGGGGTGGGAGGCCAGGATGGACACCAGCCCCTGACCTCCCACACTGGCCCTGCTCTCCCCAGGGCGGACCAGGCACTGGCTACTCTTACTATGCGGAAATTCTGTGAGGACAAGGTGGCCACAGAGCTGCAGCCCTCCCAGCGTCGGTGAGCAGTTTGGGTGGGGACAGGTGGGGGACAGCACACTGCAATGGAACGACCCCTGTGTGCCAGGCACCACACTCGGTGCTGGGAACGCAGCACAACCAAGGTCCCTCTGTCAGGGAGCCTACGGGCTCACAGAGTAAAAGGCCATTGGGACCAGCAGTTGGCATAATGGCTATGTTGCTGGACTCTCATGTAGTCAACTGAGGTTCAAGTCCCGGACCCGGTGGCTTAAACTCACTCCGGGTGTGTGTGTGTGCGTGCCCAAGATCCCAAGAGGAGAATGGAGGAGAAGGGATTGCGGCGTGGCCATCCCCCCTGGGGGGCGATTTCTCGCTTTCTGTCTCTCTGTCTCTGTCTTTCTGGTGAGCACACACGCCCTATAGCCAAAAAAAAAAAAAAAAACTCTCAAGAAAAAAAAAAAGCCATAGCCTGGGAATAACCAGACAACATTATTTTGGATGATGATAAGTTTGATGAAGAAGATAAAGCTGAATCGTGTGATAAAGAGAGACTTGCAGAACAGCCGGGACCTGCTTGGATGACGTGAAGCAGAGCCTGGGGAAAGGATTTCGGAGTTGAGGCTAGATGCAAGGAAGAACTTCCTGGTGAGCAGGAAGATGAGGGAAGTGCTAGGAGAGGGCAGGCCTTCCAAGGGCGGGTGGGTGAGGTGTGTGCGTGGTTAAAACGTTACCAGGAGACTGCCAGAGGGAGGGTCTTAGTTCTCATGCCTCCTGCGCCCCCAGATACATCAGCTATTTCAGCGGGCTGCTCTCCGGCTCCATCAGAATGAACAGCAGCCCTCTCTTCCTGCACTATGTGCTCGTGCCCGTGCTGCCAGCCTTTGAACCTGGCATAGGTGAGTTCACCTGGGATGTACTCACGGGGAGGGCCCCACACCCACTCCACTCAGCACACCTCACATGCCTTCTCTGCCCCTCCAGGCTTCCAGCCCTTTCTCAAAATCTACCAGTCCATGCAGCTTGTCTACACATCTGGAGTCTAGTGAGTGCTGAGTTCCCAGGCCCCTGATACCTCCATGCCCAGTGCCTCCTCTGCCCCTGCCCCCTACATTCCTGTTCCTCCAGCCTCTCCAGACTCCTGGGCTTCCAGTTGCAGCCAGTGAGCCCGAAAACCTGGGGAAGCCACTTCCTGACAGGGAGACTGAGGCTCAGACTCTGGTCTCCCAGCCCCTCCTGGCTGTGCACAGCTCCTTAGCACTCAGGGAGTCTCTATTCAGCTCTGCCTTCTCTCTGCCCCACAGTCACATTGCAGGCTCTGGTACCCAGCAGCTTTGCATCAGCCTGGAGCCAGCCCTCCTCCTCAAAGGCGATGTCATGGTGAGAGGGTCCAAGGAGTCCTGGGCAGGGCTGGGGGTACCCTGCCTGTTACACAGGCACCCCGTGAGCCATCAACTCGAGGAGATCTCCTTGATGGGGAGGTCACCTGGAGGTTGAGGCAGGATACAAGTTGTCCCCAGGGTGGAAGCACAGAAGAGGCGTAAGAGGACAGGAAGGCGTAACCCCTAGCCTCCCACCTCTTACCCAGGTAACGTGCTATCACAAGGGTGGCCGGGGGACAGACCGGACCCTTGTGTTCCGAGTCCAGTTCCACACATGCACCATCCATGGACCACGGCTCACCTTCCCCAAGGACCAGCTGGATGAAGCCTGGACTGGTGAGTGGGAGACGAGTGGCATGGGGGCTAGAGCCCCGTGAGGACCGGCAGGTGCCAGGCAGGCAGGCCTCCATGTGTGGGCCAGGGCTGGCTCTTCACTGTCTACTCCCTACAGATGAGCGGTTCCCCTTCCAAGCCTCAGTGGAGTTTGTGTTCTCCTCTAGCCCTGAGAAGATCAAAGGTAAGGGTAGGAGCTTGGCTTGGGAGCTGAAGGTTGGCTCCCACCTGCTCACCAACACCCAGGTGGCCTTTCCACAGGCAGCACCCCACGGAACGACGCCTCAGTCTCTGTGGACTATAACACTGCAGACCCTGCTGTGCGCTGGGACTCCTACGAGAACTTCAACCAGCAGCATGAGGACAGTGTGGACGGTGTGTAGCAGGCCCCGGGTGCGAGCTGCAGGTCTCAGGGAGGGAACACACTGGCGTCCTCCTCAGGCAGATCCCCACAGCTGGAGACTCCAGCCTGTCTGCTCTCAACAACTCTCCCTGTTCCTGCTCCTCTTCCCCACTCAGGCTCTTTGACTCACACCCGGGGCCCCCTGGATGGCAGTCCTTATGCTCAGGTGCAGCGGGCCCCCCGCCAGACCCCACCGGCACC